ATCTCCGCATCATGCTCCTCCTCATTCTCGCAGTCAACCTTGCCAGCGCTGAGTTGTTGACGACGGGAAACCAGAGGGACCTGCAAGGCTAATTTCGCAAACCTTGGCCTAACACCTACAACACGCGCAGAACGGACCTTGGCCTTACAATGAATCAGAATGGACTTAAATGGTCTTTCGCCCCTCCGGCCTTCACGGTCAGCAGATTCGGAGCATCAGCGGCAGAAACGTTGTTGGACTCCTGATCGGGGAGCTCCGCGTTGTTGCCAGCAGGCTTGCTCTGCTTGGACTTGGCAGAGGTCCGCCTTGGCTTTTTGGCCTTGCTTGTTTCTGCGGGCGCTGCCTCCGCAGTTCTCTTGCTCTTCGCGTTCTTCTCAATCTCCTTCTCAATCTCCACGGCATCCCCCAACTTGACCTGTTCCGTGTTGGGGCGCTCCTCAGACTGCTTTTCACCGTCCTCCTCACCCAAAGCTTCAAGAGTCTGGGCGTCGCCGGCCTCATGGGAGACATCTTGAAACTCGCTCATCGGCTCCTGCTTGTTCTCTACGGCGTTCTCCACTGCCTTCTTCTCAAGCTCCTCCATATTCTCCTTAGGCTCCGTGGAGATGTCCTTTGCTTCCTCAGCCTCCTTGGCCGCCTTGGCCTCCTCAGCCTCCTTGGCCTCCTTCGCTTCCTTGGCCTGCTTAGCCTCCTTCGCCTCCTTCGCTTCCTTGGCCTGCTTAGCCTCCTTCGCCTCCTTGGCTTCCTTCGCCTCCTTGGCCTCCTCAGCATCCTTGGCCTCCTTGGCATCCTTGGCCTCCTTGGCCTCCTTCGCCTCCTTGGCTTCCTTCGCCTCCTTGGCCTCCTTCACCTCCTTGGCCTCCTTGGCATCCTTGGCCTCCTTGGCCTCCTTAGCCTCCTTCGCCTCCTTCGCTTCCTTCGCCTCCTTGGCCTCCTTCGCCTCCTTGGCTTCCTTCGCCTCCTTGGCCTCCTTCACCTCCTTGGCCTCCTTGGCCTCCTTCGCTTCCTTCGCCTCCTTGGCCTCCTTGGCATCCTTGGCCTCCTTGGCCTCCTTCGCTTCCTTGGCCTCCTTAGCCTCCTTCGCTTCCTTCGCCTCCTTGGCTTCCTTCGCCTCGAGCTTGGTCGCCTCTCCTTCCTCGCAAGCCTCCCGGCGCCGCTTCAGCTCCTTCGCGGCTTCGTTCGCAGCAGCAGCCGCAGCGTCAGCCACGGCCATGGCAGCCGCCGCATCCTTTGCAGCCTGAGCAGCTTGTCGCGCAGCCTCATCTGCCCTCCGTTCAGCAGCAGCCGCCTCCTGCTTCAAGATGTCCACCTTCTCCACTGGCTCACGCCTTGCCAGCTTCCGGCCTGCTGCAAGGTCATCCAGGTCGTTCTGGCGGCGAATCTCCTCCCACTCTTCCGGCTTCATCTCTCCGTGCCACGGGTCAAGCGTGTCTGGCAGGTCCTCGTCTCTTGGCTGAGCATCCGTCCATTCCTCGGTCCTCTGGCGGGCCTCGCTGACATCGTGGACCACCATGGGCAAGGTCTCAAGGTTGTCCATGCACCGTCCTGTGAAACAAACGACACGTACCCGGAGCTAGTTTTGAGCGGTTTGAACCAGATTCAGGGTCATAGAGAACAAGAGATGTGTGGTGAACTTGCCCAGCTTGAGAGTTATTGTGTTGTCTTCGGTTTTTAATTTGAACCAGTCCTTGAACACAAAGGCTTGCCCCCCTGCCAGCAACTGTGGCATCAACCGTCGGCACACCCCGGCTTGCCAACTCTTGCTTCACCGCCTCCATCCGCTGCAGGACCTCCTCCCGAGAGGGCTGCGAGGCAATCGACATGCTGCCGCGCGAGGTACTGGGGCTGGCTGAGCACAAAGCGATCGGCGGGTCCGCCTGAAAGTTTCCGTTGTTGTCGGCCTCGTTTTCGGAAACCGATTCATAGCCATCAACGATGGCTTCACCCTCAGAATGGTCTATGGAGATAGTTTCTTCCTTTTCATCAGCGGGCTCGCCATCCTCAATGGCCAACACTTCTGGCAGTTGTTCTTCTGGTGAAGGTTCTGGTGGGGCATCCCAATACGTGTCAAAAGTCTCCCACAGGCCTTTCAGCAAGGGGTCCTTAGGTTTGCAGGGCCATGAAACTGTAATTCAGCAAATTGAAGGGCCAATGAGTTGATGGGCATTCACACCAATCAAAGGGTCGACAAGTTGAAGGGAATTTTGACAAATCACAAAGGTCCATGGGCTAAAGGAAAATCCAACAAAGAAAAAGGGCGATGAGTCGATGGGCATTGGCTGAAGGCTTTGCTCAAGTTGATTCAAGGATCCCGTGGGCCTTCGGCGCCTGAGAGCCACCTTCTGCAAGCATAGCTCATTATCTTGCGAAGCCCCCAGCTGTCTAAGTTCACCCGGGTGACATCACGAGGATCCAGACCCATGAGCCCTCGCCACTGTCTCACCTTCATGGGTGAGTGTTTATTCTCTCCCATAAATCCTTAGACTGTGGAAAAGCAGCTAGCCTTCTTGATTGGGCAAAAGCGGGGCTCGTTGGCTTGACAATCCTGGAACCTTTTTGCTTTGTTACCAGGTTGCAAATTAGATCTATCCCCGACTGAGGATATGCGGGTTCATCAGACATCCAGTGTCATAAGTTTGGGCCAGGTTGCAAATTAGATCTATCCCCACAAAAACAGCTGAGGATTCGCGGGTTCATCAGAAATCGGGTACCACAAGTTTGGCCCAGGTCGCATTTAGATCTATCACCCAAAACACAACTGAGGATTTGCGGGCTCATCAGAAATGCAGTATCATACGTTTGGGCCAGGTCGCAAATTAGATTTATCCCAAAAACACAACTGAGGATTCGCGGGTTCATCAGATATCCAGTACCATAAGTTTGCGATTTTCAACATCCATGCCTCTTGCCTGAGGATGTCAATCGACACTGGCGCAGCCTTGTTTGACAAAGGGCACCACCAACATGCTAGGATCTCAGTGGCCTCCAAGTTGGCCAGCAAAGTTGACATCCCACCCACCCCTGTCAACGCCGGGCTTGGCCAAGAGCAAAGCTTACCCTGCGTCCTCGCCCGATCTCTGAGAAGGGCTGACTGCTCAAAAAGGTCTGCCAGTCTAGCCATGCCTAAGGCCTAAGGTTGCTGGGCAGTGCCTACTTGAGCCCGCAGCTAGAGGGAACTCCTGAGAATAAAGGGTTATTTTGCTCCTGGAGGGTTGTGGTAGGTCATAGCGAGTCTTCCGAAATCCAGCGCCCCCCCGAAACGGAGCCAGGCCTTCAGCTCCATCAGCGGAAGCCAGATGAAGCGTCAACGCCTGAAGCCACAGCAACATGTCGGTCACCCCCAACTCACCAAGCTCAGCAGCGCAAACTGAAGCATGCCCACTGCAACAATCCCTTCATCCCATCAACTGCAACCTGCAAAAGCAACTGAATGCCCTCCGAAACCCAAAAGCAGAAACACGACCCCAGCAAGCTCGCCTCCGCACGCAGACCAGACACCGCATCAGTACCTGACGAAGGGCGAGCGAGCGATGTGGGGAAAAAGGCAGTGGCTGCGCACTTGGTGACCTTTGCCGCGGTGTGAGGGCCGATGCAAGCCAAACAGCTCGCACGGGCGCACTGTGACCGGAAGAGGGATGCAACATGCCACTAAATAACCAAAACAGTAAAAGCGCTGGTTGCAAAAATAATTGCCGTGTCAAGGAAAAACACTGTTTTTCTCCAAACAGCAAAAAAAAGGAACCTGTTGGGACATGCAGGTATATACATACATATGTATCCCCCTCCGTGTTGCCTTCGGTACTGGTTTGAGGATAGTGGAAGCCATCTTGGAATGGAGGGACTGTTCAGGTGCAGCTCTTTCTTTTGAATTTGATTCGTGGTTTCAGGGAAGGTCTGCCCACGATACATGAGGATTCCGACGATTTCATGGTAAATTAGCTGGGTGAGGGAGGTGTCAAAGGTACTTTTTGTTCGTTTGGGGGGCGGGTCGTTTCGCTTTACGCAAGCTTTTTGAAGGCAACTGTTCGGATGTCGCTTAGACATGGAGTCTTTCTTAACTTGGTTGCCCATTGGTATGACCAAGCTAACCGTTGAACATTCAACCGTTTGGACAATGACATGTGTTGTGTGAGTAGTTTTTGTTATTATGAGTGTTTTTTTCATGGTATCATTCTGACAAACAAACAAAAAGGTATGTTCTTCACCATTGTGGTGCTGGCGGCTCTTTTGGACAGTCCCCACAAAGGGTTCTGAGTTTTGGCACAGGAGCATAGGAGCCTATTCTCACGCCCCAAGCGAATCGGCTTTGTTCAGATTCCATGGCGTCCAAGGGGTGGCATGGGCCGAAAAGTGTAAACAACCAGTTGCTTTGGATCCCCGACACAAAGGAAAGCCATGTGAACGCCCAAAACCCCGGCTGGCCATTCTAGTACAAGCTTGGATTGCTAATCCCTTGTGAAGGTACGTGACATGAACACTGGAATAGGTTTTGGAGGCTTGCAGTAGGTAGTTTGCAGCCGCAGCCCCGCATGCGCTCCGCAAAAACAGCAGCAGCAAAATTATGGGCCTGCCTTTCTGAGGGATCCCCATGTTTGTGGTTTTGAAGGGAACCAAAAGGAACAATACTATTTTGGGGGTCTCCTAAAGTAAGCCATGGCCAGTTTTTTGCGCTCACTTCCCGAGTTCCTGAACTTTAAACTTTTTGGGTCTGGACCATTTTAGTGGTTAAAACCAAAAAGCAGTTTTGTTACTTTTTTGGCCGCAATCCACTCGATCGGAGGTGAGTGCGGGGTCTAAAACCAGCCATGTCGGTCTCTGGTCTGTCCTGGCCTCGGGGTCTCCTATGTCGGTGGTCTCTGGTCAAGTCTCCTCGGGAAAGTCGGCGTTTACCGTGCCTCGGGCAGAAATCAGTACGCCGGAGAGGCCAGCTCATTTGCCCTCACTAGTGAGGGCAAATGAGCGGGGTTCGTTTGTTCCCTTTTTGCCGTGCCTCGGCCGAGATCTCTGGGAATGCTCCTCTTCGAGAACCGGCGCCTCATCCGAAAGGACCTGGGCCCGATCCTCTTCACCAGCGCGGCCTCCTCCGTGCTGACCATAGGCCAGGCGGCGGTTTGGCTTCGGCCAAGCCACAGGGGGCAAGGAAAGGGAAACCGAAAGGACAACCACCATTTGGGGAGTGACACCATTTGAGCACACAAACATGGACAAGATGGAACATCTATGAATGTCCCGTTGCGATTGAACAGGGGACCCAAAAAAATGATAGTTCCTTTGGTTTTCCTGCAACCTAACGGGTACCTGGAGTCTCCATGACTGCCAAGACCCCTTTTTGTGCGACCCCACTATTTCAGGGTCAGTCACCCATCATGGCAGCCCATTGTTGATGGGCAGCAATGCCATATGCATCAACTGTTTGGAACGTTTGCTTCACCTGGCTCCAAGTCTCCATTTCTGAAGGGTCTTAAGAAACAGAAAACCATCAAACCATGTTGGATTTGGATTTGGCCTTTTGAGCTATGGGGAACCCTCAAGCAAAAAAGGGGCAAATGGATTTGACTGAAAACTTCTGCGTGACCCCTTATCTCAAGTGTCAACACTACAGGAACCCTCATACAAACAATCGAACCAACAGGATATGACCCCCCCCCATTTAAGGCTTGAGACCGAAGAAAACACACGGGCATCAGGATATGACCCCTTATTCGGTGACCAACTTATGTTGATTTCTCAAGACTTGAGACTCCAGGAACCCTGCAATCATGGGGGCTGGGGGGGAGGGCGGGGAGGGGGAGGGAGCCCTAAGTAAGCCCCTATTCAGCCCTGAATAAGGCCTTAGGGCTCCCTCCCCCTCCCTCCCCTCCCTTCCCTTTTCCCAAGCCCCCATCCAAAGAAAACCCCTCCAAACCATTTGGCCCGTCCTATGAGGCTCCGCGCCGCTGCTCTCGCGGCTCTTCGGCCTCTCACGGCCCTTTGCCTTGAGCACCACGGCCCGCTGCGCGCTCAGCCCGCCGCGGCCCCAGCAGGGAAGGGGTCCGTTGGGTCGGTCGGCTCGCTCGGTTTTCGGCGATTTTTCGGCCAGCTGAGTCGATGGAGACATTAACCAATTGGTTTCCGGGGGGTTTCCGGGAGAAAACCCAGTGACATGCGGGGTTCTGGGGGAAAACACATTGAAACCTCATGACCTCTCTGTTTGCTGCCTGAACACCCCCGAAAGCATGTTGGTTTTCCGCGGACATCTCATGACATCTCCGTGGATTGCTCATTAAACATCGAAGATCCCGACCAAAAAACAACAAAATCAGGAATAACAAATAATGCGCTTTCTGAAACAATATTCCTTCAAGTGCACGGAAGAACCCGGAATCGAGGAATCGGGCACTCATTGTGCGCTCTTCTTTTGGCTGGCGGCTCTTGAACGATGACCAATCAGAAAGACTAGCCCCCTTTTGGTGTCAAGGAAGTTACTTGTTCGGCTAAGTCAAGAAGTGTTGAGCCACTTGAAGCGCCCGCAGGATTCACTCTGCTGCGCGGGGGACTTGTAGCTGGGTCATATCCTACCCAGGGATTTCATGTGGGCTTGTCTCAAGTGGGACCCCCCAACCACTGTCCCCCAACAAGCAGGAGGACTACTCTCCATGCTATCCCAAACTGGGACTGAAAGCTGACAACTGGGTCCACGGCTCGCTCCCCCTTGAAGGAGCACGAAAAGGCGAAGGGCTCCTAAGACACAAAGCATTTTTGGCCAACAAAAAAACACCCCCAAGGAAAAATCAAGAATATGCCATGTATCGTTTCTTCGTAACTGTACATCCCATTCAGCCCCTTGTAGTCGTACAGCTGGGCGACATGGAGGCATCCCCATAAGTTACCTGAACCTAGCTCTCTGGTGTAGTGGAAACCAGCTGTGGGAGAAGCGGGGTGGATGAAACGGGTTTTGTTGGCTTGGGCTTGGGATGGTGGAAGACATTGAGCGAGGGCAATAGTGGAAACCATCTAGGTCCCCAGTAGTGCCCTTTACCCTTTTTTGGGGGAGGGTTCCCCTACTAAAATAGACTGCAGAAAAATGGGTACCCTTATTCTAACGTCTCTACTGGAGGACCTAGCCATGGTAGAAAGTGCGCGGCCGGTCGCCGAATCCAATCCGCAGGATTGCTATGGGCATGGCGAGCATGTTGGGTAGCCCGCCGCCCATTGCGGTGGCTATGACCACCTTCTCAGGCCGGGAGTGCAAGGATGGAGGTCAAAAATCTGGGGGGACCCTGTTTGGCCTGTTTGTCCAAAAGAAACGCCCTTGGGAGTCCCATTCATCGCACCAGTTGGTATTGCTGATGTATCAACCAGTTTTGATAGGGAAACCTATCTGTCCAATCTGGCGCCTGGCGTGCCTTGCTGGTTCTCAGCAGGGAATGACCCCAAACTGAACCATTCCTTGTAGGGGATCCCCTCCAGGTTCATTCCCAACCGACAAAGTTCCCTGAGAACCAGCAAGCTGCCAGAGAG